TCCTTGGTGGGAAAAACATAAAAACACTGTGAGTGTAGTGAGCTGAGTGGGGAACAGGGGAAGGGATACACCTCTTACTTTGTACTTACCCTGTTATTTGCCTTTTTTCCAAATAACAAACCTGGCCCTGGCCATGATAGACCAATAGCTATTTTACAATAAGCCTTCAGCACTGTCTAAGAGTGGTTTTATTGCAAACTGATATTTAAATGGGTAGTCAAATGTATTGAAAAATTAGGCTATATCATACCAGTCTCAAATAGAATGTCTTAGATGGTTGTCATAACGATCGTTGATAGCTGTGTCTACTTATTGCTACAGTTGATCTAGCAATCATGATATTATCATTTCATAATGATTTATTACTTGACGTCTGCTGCAGCTGGAAGTTGTACACTCAGACAAACCAATCAAGTCCATTGAGCTGCAGCTTGTGAGAGTTGAAACCTGTGGTGAGTAAGTGATATTATTTGAAGCAAGCAAACAATCCTTAGAACAACAACTGTGCACATAGCCAAATAAATGAAGGCATCGCTTTATAGTGCTTATGCTTCTAGTAAAAAACTGTTACAAACTACAGTATGCATTTACTGAAAGGTTACTAAGTTCAAAATGGCTGAATTAGAATTTCATGATGTATTTTGAAAACAAGCCAATTTTTTCTGAAAGTATATTTATTATGTGTCGTCAGTTGGTTTATTTTCTTCTAAAATACTGACACTGATTTTTGACAAGTTTATCATTTGTTCCTATTATTTTGGGACAATAACAACAACAACTATAACAAAAAACAAAGAAAAACACAACAACTGTCTTACATGTACACTAGTCATCTCCTCTGTGATCTCTTTTTAGGTTGTGCTGAAGGATATTCAAAGGATGGTTAGTTAACGTTCTTGGGAAAATGTTTACCCTGTTGGAAAGAAATAATAATAATATTATTGTCTAGCTACGACTGGATACTTTGTAGAGCTCAATAGAACTATTACCTAAAAACAACTTGCACAATGCTGTGCCTCTATTTTCCCTGGTTTGAATTTTTGTGCCTAAATTTGTTTCAAACTCATCATGGATCACCATACCAAGAACAAAGGAAAATAACATTTGAACCAAGGATTAAATTTTAAGAAAATGACTTAAGTGCTATGAAACTCAGATTTTTGCATCAAAGGATCTTGTTTATGTCCCTTTGTACATACTTGTATCTTATGACATGGTTGCAAATTGATTGTGTATTCTAGCCCTCTTGATATAAAGAAGGGAATTAAGTGACTTATTTGACCAGGCCAGTCCATTCTTGTGTCCAGCCAGTTCAATAATGGTGATGAAAGACATAAATGATAGTTAATATTATTACTGATGTTAAATGTGTTTGTATCCTCAGCTACTGAGATTCAAAATATTCAGGTATGAAAATATACATTAGAACTTGACGGATTTGAAAAGGCAGGATTGCAAGCATAAAACTTGTAATTGTAACAAGAAACTTGTAACTGCTTTCATTTGAAGTGGGAAAAGTTAACTGGGAATTGGATAAAAAGCCACAAAGTTAAGTTCAAAAAATTCCAAGTTGATTCATTGTGTCAGCAACTTGCTCCAAGGTTTAAAACAGCACTTCAGACTTATCAAAGATTACTAGGTTCCCAGTCTCCTTTGCAGCCATTATTAGATTAGTGGAGGAGGAGTGTTACATATGATGACCCTAATAACTGCTGCAAAGGAGACTTCTTAGTTTCATGAGACAAAAGATGAACTCAGGCAGTTATTAAAGCTTTTGTCTGTGTTGATGAAACTTGAGGTGGCCTGAAAATATTTATATGCGCGTTAGTTATGTTTTTTAATCACGTTTTTCGGCAGGAATGGTTAAACCGATTTCCATAATTTTTGGCAGCCTTAATAAAGAATGATCCAATTTTGAGAAAATGTTATTTATTTTCTTGTAGGTGTAAAAACGTCTGAGATATCGGCACATGTTTAAAACCGCATTTTTACAAAAAATGTCAATAATTTCGAAACCCTAAGACATATTGTTTTCTAACTTCGGCAAATAAGCCTCAGAACCCTCATGTTTTATAACTGCAAGTTTGAAATCAATTGTGACCGTAGAACTTGCTGCACAAATAGCTGGTCAAATTTAAACTTAAAATGCAACGCTAACGAACTGTTCATATTTGTGAAAGCTGACGGACAAATGGAGGGAAACTACCGGCGGACTATCTCCTATCTGAAAGGGTACTCTTGCCCAAAGCTTCAGTTGCAAGAAATTGAGTAATCAGAAGCATACGGCGAATACAGTTCACAATACAAGAAGAACAACTTTATGCTGAGTGAGGGGCAAGACAAAAGAATTTCTATTTATGAAACTTACTTTGTATTTGTCCCTCTCTTTTCAAAACCTATCTTAACAGAGCAAATTGCATTATCTATGAAAAACTCTCAAGAGTTTTTTGCATTGTAGGTTTCTGTTTTCAGGAGAAATAAAGCCACCAACTCCAGTACTTCTAACCGTTCAGTTTTGAGCTGCACTAAAAGCCCTTGTACTTGGTAATTTATTCAAGGTTTTAAGACTTGATTCACGAGGGAAGTTTGCCACTTGGGGATAAAGATGAAGAAAATATGACAATCGTCTTATTCTTTTCATTATCCCCAATGGCAAAATGCCTGTGTGAATGTGACGGCAAATCTTTCAAACTTGAATAAATTACCTAATACAAGGGTTTTTGTGGCAGCTGGAAATGGATCAGTTGAATTACTGGAGTTGGTAGCTTTATTTTTCCTCAAGACAGGAACCTTCAGTGCTAAAAACTGGTAGGAGATTTCCGTAGCTGTTATATCATGCTTTGTTGAGATTTTTTGTGAAAAGAGAAGGGAAAATACACAGTAACTTGGAAAATAGAAGTTATTTAACCTTTCCCTGCATAATTTTCAGGATTAAGTTGTTCTTCTTATGTATTGCGAACTGTATTCGCCGTAGGTTTCTGATTACTCATTTTTTTGCAACTTAAGCTTTGGGCAAGAATACCCTTGCAGACAGGAGATAGTCCGTTGGCAGTTGTCCTCTTTGTGTGTTAACTTTCACAAAATAAATGTGTTAGCGTTGCATTTTAAGGTTAAATTTGACAAGCTATTTGTGCAGCTAGTTCTACAGTCACATGCACAATTGACTTCAAACTTGCAAATATAAAACTAGAGAGCTGTGAGGCTTATTTGCCGAAGTTAGAGAAAAATCTGTCAAAGGGTTTTGAAATTATTGACATTTTTTGCAAAAATGCGGTTTTAAACATATACCGATATCTCAAACGTTTTTACACCTATCAGAAAATAAATAGCATTTTCTTAAAGTTCGACCATGCTTTTTGAAGGACGCTAAAAATCATAGAAATCGGTTAAATCATTCCTGCTGAAAAACTCAATTCAAAAACATAACCAACGCGCGAATAAATAGGTTCGGACCACCTTAAAGGTCTTTAACAATGCTCTAACAATCATTTTAGTCCCTAGGTTTACAACATGTGCAGTCTTTCTCTATTTCTTTTTTAGATAGCAGAAGGAGATGTTTGTCGTGGTATAAAGATACCAATCTACATGATATTTCCCCGCTTATTCACTTGTCCTACCTTAGCCACTGCAAACTTTAAAATTGGTGAGTATAACTTTNATAAATAGGTTCGGACCACCTTAAAGGTCTTTAACAATGCTGTAACAATCATTTTAGTCCCTAGGTTTACAACATGTGCAGTCTTTCTGTATTTCTTTTTTAGATAGCAGAAGGAGATGTTTGTCGTGGTATAAAGATACCAATCTACATGATATTTCCCCGCTTATTCACTTGTCCTACCTTAGCCACTGCAAACTTTAAAATTGGTGAGTATAACTTTCATGAACAGAGTCATTGTATGTCAAGTGTCAATATGTGGGCACAATGTTGCCTAATCCTTGTATGACATTTTCCCTGACTTTCTTGGTCAATGCATTTTGGTGACGTATCCAAGGCGAATGCACATTGACTGCATGGAATAATGAGGCCTAGGGACTAGGCAAGGCACTATGGTTGCTGGGAGGCGAAGCTATGTTGTCTTACTATTTTTGTATTTCAGAGTTTGAGGTGAATGTGGTGATTGTTCTTCAAGATGATCATCTTATCACAGAAAACTTTCCCATCAAAGTTATTAGGTGCTAGCACAGTAAAAGGAGCAAATTATTTGCCAATCAATAATTATTGGATAATTATATTATAATTGAAATCTATTTGTATTGTGTGAAGAAGTGATACCAGTTAGTGGCTGAAACAAAGCTATGCTGACCATACTGTTTTAAGTGTTGGCCCTTATGGTGGTTTGTAGTATGATCAGTGGTTATCAAGAATACAACAAAAAAAATGAAACTCGGATTCTTAGTAATAATGACATAGCATCATGTGAATTTTAGTAGGCACACAAAATTTATGCATGTGTTTTCTTGAGGTGGTTAAAAGATATCAACTTAATCTTGAGTTATTTTTTGCATGCATGTTGTGTTTTATTATTATTATCCTCAGTTTAAGTTTATAACAACAGTTGAAATAAGGAAAATTAGGGATAAAATTTTACCACAACATATACTCAAACAATATAATTGACCATTAATTGTAACAACCATAGAAAAAAAGCATCATGAATTAAATTTTGGATAATACAATCTATCTATGACTAAAATGATTATAGATCATATTATCTGAGATGGCTAGACTTTTTTGGAATGGTTCTATATACATTGAAACCACCTTTTGTATAAGTCATTCAAATAAACTTTTCATCATTACCTTGCCTCATCATGCAGTACTCTCAGCACACCTTTACAAGGTGTATATATATCAGGCCCCGGTTGTTCAAACATCAGACAGCATTATCCATTGAATAAATCAATATCCAGTGGATAAGTATTAGGGAAACCAAAAATGCATATTTATCCAGTGCATAGAGATTTATTTACTGGATAGGGTTAGCCACCTTTTGAACAACTGGGCCCAGTGCTAATAGCAGTTTTAATTGAAAACTCTACAGCACTTAACTCAATTTTAACAGAGCTTTATTTATATGATTAAATTCCTGAGACAACAGAGTGCAAGAAATAAAGCTGTAGTTTGTCTACAAGTACATGGAAGAAGTACTAGGAAGTTTTAATAACAAGGACTAAGTACGCTGAATGATACTCAATTTCCCTAGATAACATTATTTTAATCAGCACTTTTTTCCAAACTTCATCTTTCACTAAATTACATTGTATGTCTGTAGAGAAAACACTGAAGAGCATCAAAAAACAATAAAATAAATATTTTTGGAAGGAACTGCTCCTTGACTGCTTGGTAGATTTCCTAGACTGCCAACTTCTTTCAGTCTTTATAATCCCACACGTAATGGTGGAGAAACTAAAATGACACCATCACCTCTCACAAATAGCATCGGTATATTCCTTTTTGTTGTCTGTTGAAAACAAAGTCCACAGTTATCTTACAGGTAAATCTCTTCTTCCATTACAAATGGGGCATCAAAGTTTTTATTCAACTTTACTATTGATGAATGGTGATAATTACAAATTAATGGTGGAAGGGTTGTTTCCATTGTTTGAAACATAAACTACTGTATAGGCCTAGGTTTCTTATTATTTGCACAGGGCGCAGAGGAGTAATTTGACCTTGATTTCAGTTAAATTTTACAGTTGATAGCGCAAAAAGCCTTGACCTTTTACTGTAGAATCAAATATTACATTATTAACCAAAAGATTACTCTATGCTCAGTGGAAATGAATGAATGTGTAGCCCTTTGGGCAATGCATAAGAAAGCAAAGCTTTCCTGACCAAACAAGTAAGGCCCATAGATGCGGAGGCAAGGCACAAAGTGCCAAGAAGAAAAGGAGTCTCTTTACTATTTGTAAGTCACTGTAATTTGTCCGCACTCATTGCCTTCAATAGTTTTTCAGAGAATTGGATAATATTTTGTCAGATTTGTAACAAAATCGCATGATAGTTAATTTTGAACAAAGGTGATTTACACTATCAAAGTACGTAAAATTTAACTGGAATTGAGACACAAATAATTCCTCTGCAGCCTGAGTTATTTGTTGTGGATTCATGGTTATTATTTTTACACATCCTGCTTTTTATTCAGTCTCAGGGAAATTCTAGCAAAATAAACACAGATTGGCTACAATGGAGACTCTGCTGTGAAAGCTGATGTATTGAACACCATATATATTCTTGGTGTTGTAGGGAGCTAGGACAAGGCATTAGGTTTGAAGTTTACAAGCAGTTCACTTTCCTGTAACACAGACAAATGCATCACCATGATTTTGATACCCAAACACCTGCATTTTTTTACACAAATGACACTCGTGTAGTCATTCTTTTTTTACTGTTGCCGAAGACAAAACAACTATAGTGTCCAACACTGGGTTATTTGGAGATTAACCTCAACACTGGATGAGGCAGAAGAACCAACAAGTTGGAAAGCAAAAAACTTTAAATTCAATTGGACTAGGTAATTGGAACAGAATTAGATTATATAATTTCTTTTATAATTATTTGATTCTATTGTAGATAAATTTACCTTGAAAAGTTCTTCATATGTTTCTTCATCGATTTCAACAGTTGTTATAGTTTCCTCTACATCACTCAGGATCATGTTAAGGTGCTGATCATAAGCCTGTATAAAAAATCACATTTAATAATAATATTACAAGTGAAAAAAAAAATTTCATTAACAAAATAACTAATAAGCACTTGCAACTTATGAAAAACGGTAAAAGCCTTAAATTCCTAGCCTGTATCGCAGGCACTCTAAACCTATGGTATAAAGCGACAGCAAATTAGTGCACAATATCAAGGTTGAATCCCTCAGAGTTGCAAAGACAAATGTCGGCATTTCTGATTGGCTAGTTTGGCAGTTTGTAATTAGTCTGATTTGAAATAAAGTGTTCACAGGCTAAACAAGACTCATAGCTTGTGATAAGAGAGAATGAGCTCATGATGGTGTGAAACATGACCTGAGAGTCAGCTTAACCAACAGAGGTTTTTCTTGCTTCCTCTCTGATAGCGTAGATTATGCAGTGTGTGGAGTATTCTAACCTCTAACAGAGAAAACCTTATTTTTGCCGCTTTGAGCTGGTCTTTTCCCTTTCATATTGAGTAATTAGTTCCTGTGGTTTATGTTTCTGCAGATGTTTTCGGACAGGATTTTATCACAGATACAGTTAATAACATTAAATGGTTTTCTTTTACCTCGGTTAAAGCCTTAAGCTTTTTATTACCACTAAATAACCTTAAGGTTCTTTGGTTTTCTCCCAAATGCGTGGACCTGAACAGCTACATGATTTTTTTTTTAACATCATGATTTCCTGATTTGTTTTGACCCTAGAACTGTCAGCTAGATTTCAAAATATGCGGCATTGCATCTGCAGCAATTGGGAGATGCTGGAAAACCAGTCAGCATATTTACAAACCAATTTTGGCATTAGAAGGAATTCCCTCAAAGTATTCTTTTTTGTTCAGAAGAAGGCTTTCAAGTGCAAACTGCTCTTTTATAATTTACTGTAAACACTGCTTCTGTGAATTCTGACATGTCCAGCACAAGTAAGAATTGGGCCAATTGTGAGGCACATAAGAAACCCATAAGAACTTGCCTATCAGAAACTCTCACATATATCCTTGTGACTCTGCTGGATTCTGCTGGACAAATGGTCTAGATCAAGCATGGGCGGGCTGCGACACAGGCTATATATATCCACTATGGGTAATAATATTGGTAATCAATCAATTTTTTAATTTGCAAGACTGAAACCTCTGCCCATCAGGGCTTAACTCAGAGATTCAGGAGGTTTAATTTTGCGAGACACAAATTTCTAGGTTTTTTAATGGGTAATATAAACTTGAAATTTTCAGCACTTTAAGTCTATGGCTAAAATTTTTTTCCAGGTGAAGTCTTGGGGTATAAAAGTGCTCGAGTTTTGGTCTCGAATTTTACCACCAGGGTCTATCATGTGGCCAATGAATGCTGTTATCTTAATTGAGTGGATTCTTGTTAATATTCATCTCCTGTGACTCCAAACCCGAGAGTCTGTTATGCCAATGTGCACTTATTTTTTATAATGTTGGTTATGATCTGGGTCAAACAGCGAAAACAGTTTGAACATAAACAAACATATATGATAATGACAAAAAAGCCTGAGAAAACAGCTGACATTTTGTGACATCAACACTCGTTTCCCGCAAAATGACATCTGATGCTTCAGTATGCAATGACCAATCAGAAGCACTACCCAGATCTGGGTAGTGATACATCATCAGTATGGAATTTCTGCGCTCTTGCCTTATAGACGATATTTCATGAGGAAACCAGTGGTGGTGTCATGAAATGGCAGCTGTTTTCACAGCCTAATGTCCAATGACAATGTTGTGACAAAAATTTAAGCTAATTTGAAGTCTTCACAACCTCTTACAATATGTTTTGAGGTGTAAGACAGTTAAAACATTGAGTCACAACAAGTGCTGTGGAAATACTGTGACTGTCTAACCGAAGAATAAGTACCTTTACTCCACTAAGGCACCAGGATCAATGGCAATAACGGTTTTAACCGCTTTCAAGATATGGGCTTTCATCGAGATTTACTTTACAAAGAATATCACTTACCTCGTTCTTAATTTTTCCGTTTAATAAATGTACAATTCAGCTCTGATTTGTACTTTTTCAGTTAAGCTCTTGCTTAATAAACTTACATTTAAGCTAATTGCAGACTGCAGCGCGCTGTACTAAGTTTAAGACGGTAGAGAAGAAAAGAAGTAAAGAATTACGTACATGTAGTTTCCCCCTAAGTTCTCTGTCATTTCTTAACTTGACATAAATCCTTTCATCCAAGCTGAGACGAATAAGATCTAGTGGTTCTTCCACTGTATTCGCCACTACCTCTTCTTCCGCCATTTTCACGAGGGGAACTCGGCCGAAAGGGGAACCGACTTTTAGTGATTCATGGGAATGGCGGCAAACAAAGGACTCCCTTCATGGATAATAGAAAGACTCGAGATTGGCGGGTTTCTAGAAAACACAAACCGCAGACCTCAAAAAACGCTAGCCTGTGTGAACAGGCTCTCTGGGAAAAAAATAGTAAGGAAAGGGAAGGGAACGGGGAGGGGTGGGGGGAACTTTTTCAGGGCGGAAAAACGTTCTGCGCAAGCTTCTGCGCATCGCTTATCGCAGGCTCAAGGCGGGCTTTTCTGTGTGTTCACTGTGTTTGTTTGTTGCTAACCTGAGATCAGGCGTTATTTTTTTATTTTTTGCTTTTTTGCTTCTTTGGCTCGAGAGGGAAAAAAATAACGCCTGATACATTTATTTAACAAGCCGTCAACCGCCCCCTAATTTACATAATCTAACGTCTGCTTGACCTGTCATGTTATTAGCCTATAAGCGTTTACCATAAGGGAATCAAATTTGGCGCGAATAATGTCTCTTTTAAAATCAATTTTAGCTAGGGAACAGAAAATTTTTTTAAAAGTATGTCCATGTTCAGATGGCGCTTCCTAAAAAAAAATTTAAATGTGTTGTTTTTGTGATGAAATACTGCTAGCTGGAACTGCCGCACCTTTTTAACAGCTACAAATAATAAAGACTTTACTGGTTAAAGCTCGTTGACTTCGTACTGTACCGAAAGCAGTGAAAAAAAAATAAGGCTGAAGCACCTGAAAGGTGTTGTGAAAGCGAAGATCGCTCAGAATAATTCGCAGGTTTGTGAAGGACGAATTACAGTCAAACCAGGTCAAGATTCCATTCATGAATTATTTGAAAAGAGAACCCGTTTGTCGCTTCTGTAACTTG